TTTTGTCATAATAGAATAACACTTGTGATGTATATTGATATGATGTATGATGAAAAATTAATTAAATAATATTTAAATGTAGATTTTAGATTAGATTTAGTATTTAGATTTTACAAACAGTATTCAATTTCACAATTTGATCATTAAAATCATGAATGTGATCTGAAATATTTGCTTCATTATTTTTCATCTTGAACTCAAAAATTTTTTGAATGCATAATTTCAATTTGAATGTACACAAAAAAAATAATTAATTTTTTTGAGTGAAAATATCAATTGAGAGAAACATATTTTTTATGTTCATCTAATGATTTGATTACATGAAGTTGTAAATATTACATAGTAATATTTAAAATTATTTCATGCATGTAATTTTATTTTAAACTAACAAAAAATGAATTTCGAACTCAACTTCTCTTCATTAGTATTTACCTTTGAAAATTGAACTACTTAAAATAATCAGCTATTTTATTATATTTGAAAAAATTAGATTTGACATCAAAAATCTTCATAGTTCTTTATCTGATCAATATAGTTAGTTCTGCTAATTTGAAAATAAAAAATTTAAATTTTGGACCAAATTTTAGAATTAAAGCTAAAATAGTCATTGATTAGAATATTTTAGCTGACTATGCTGACAATGCTATTTTAGCTGGAGTCAATGACTATTTGAATTTTAGAATTCTTGTGAACTCGCCAATTGTTATCTTACGCCCTTGAATATATAATCAAAATATTTGATTAATATAGCTCTGATGGTCACCACTTGCTACTCCGTGCCATGGAGTCCGTGGTCAATTGTCAAATCAAAAGTTTAATTGTCAAGGGTCTTGCTGCCACTTGCCACTTCACGTCGACATTGATTGTCAAATCAAAGATTATATAACGCCATCTATTTTCGAACCAAGATGTTAGATGTCTAATTTATTCACTTCTTTAATTTGCACGAACTTCTCCACTGTGAATTCAAGAGCTTATCATGTGAAATGTTTACAACGTCGATTGTTATATTTGTTGACTATTTGGATACTTGCCCCACCTCTTGCCACTTTGCTCGAATTGTTCATTAGTGCAAAACTGTAAAAACTCTGGCAAGATTCTTCTTTGATCTTACACTCGTTGCTAATGAACATGAAACTTCTCGTTGCAAGACCAAATTTTTCATCAAAATATCTTGTTGCAATCCAAAAATCCTTTTTGCAGGCCCAAAACTCTGAGTGAAAACGGATTGTTGCAAACCGGCACATTTATCACTCTCGTTTTGAGATGATTTGCAGGTGAAGATTGACATCAACACTAACATGCTTTCTGAAGTAGATGACACAAGAAATATTTCTTTAATCACATTATTTTATCTGAATCTCTATGTTTTGGAAATTAATCGTTTCCAAAACACAATTCCAATCACAAATATTCACATGGCTCATAGACCTCCCACTTAGTTGATAGTAAAGTTTTTTGTGCTTACTCTACTAAACCATAATGTAGTAAAGAATCACTCTCATTAACCTCATTCAAATTCTAGATCTCAAAATACATACCCATGAAAATATCTCCATATTACTCTCACAACAATGGTCATTATTCCTGCTACCGAGGCTGGTCTAAGTACCTTATACTATGTCCAATTTCAATGTTTTTACCTTGGTGCATCCATCGAAAGCTGAAGCCTTGGTGTTATTTGAAGAGTGGATGATGAGTCCAGTCATCAATATATTTATGTGAAAAGAGTGACTAATTATGTAAGGTGATGGTATGCATGATATGAAATATCGACATATGTTTCAAGAAAATGTGATATCGAAATTCACATGGTTATTAAGATAGTTCGATTGCTTTTTCAAAGTGATATCCTGATATTCGTTAGTGTCTTGTGCTCTACCAAATTAAGAAAAGTAAAATTAAAGTACACTGATGTGTGCGCACTGAAATGATCGTATTGGAAGCATGGGGAATTACCTCTATGCTACAGGTGTCATAATCCCATTCATTTCAAATCCTATAGTCTTGGAGATAAGAATATTACTGCTGTATGTTAACCAAACCCAACTTGGCTATTTCAAAATACGTTCATTCTCTAACCTAAAGCAAAGCTAATTTCGAAGTAAATAACATGACAGTGGTCAGAAGACTTTACTGCAATGAGAAATAGGAAGAGCTTGTACTGTTGATTTCTCTACAGAAATAGACGTCTTGGTGCTCTATGACTTGTTGGACAATAACCCTGTGGGAGCATTGACTTAGTTAGACTGATTGTGAGTATTCAGATACAGTTCAGATTCAGATGAGTTCGAGATTAATCTGGGTAACTCCATTCATGTTATGTTTGTAATCTTGTACGCAGGGCATACTAGTTCAAGTGAGATTAATTAAAGGAGGAGTTTCGGGATCAAAACGGTCCCGTGCTTGCAAGCATAAGGCTCCTAGGCAAGCGCCGGGTTTTCCAGAAGCTGCTACGTTCTTCGAAAAGATCAGATCAGATCGATATACTCATATTGGAATACGCAATCAAAATATGGTCGCATGACTGGCAGCTCTATAGAAGCGAATGTTGAGCTCAGATACCAGCATGAAACCTAATCTGGAATTCCATTGATCTACCGAGACCATCAGCTTCACTTCATCTGAGGTCGGTCTTTGGGTCAGGCAAAGTTTCTGGCACAAGTTGTGGCCAGCAAAGTGCGAGTAGAGACCTTTCAAGCGGCGATCTGAGATTACGGGATAATATGGCCGCTCTTCATGGCCACAGAAATAGTCTTTCCTTTGTGATACTGAATCACATTCATAGGTCTACCTGCGGCAGTAGAATGGAACAGGAAATTGCATAAACTATCAGGACAATATTACATTCACATGCTGACGACTGAACATTCCCTATGATAAATTGGAAATTATAATTATGCTCCATTCATCGCGTATGCCGGTTGACTGACGAGGTCAATCCGGCTTCCTGACTCTCTGTATGCCTCCACAGTCGAATTTCTTGTGGATTTGCAGCACACGTTGTACAATCTGTGAAATTGAAAGTCACATGGGCTGGATCAATTTCCCCATCTATGTGCCCAAACCTCTCTGGGTTTGAATAGATTGAAGACTATTCTTGCTAGTATGACTTGCTTCACGCGGTGGAGTGGACTTTTCATTATGCAAAAGTCTTAAACATTTCGCGTGATTATCAAAAGGTTTATAGTTTATTTTTGAAACAAACTCGAACGCACCTCTCGTCGCCCACAATCTTAATTGAGTCGCGCCAAAACGCAACACACACGCAACACACACGAAACACACCTCTCGCTCGCTCCTCGCTCGATCGGAAGCAGCAACGACGACCGCGCGAACTGGCGAATTGGTAGCCACGACTTCTGGGATGCGTTATTCCCTCTGTAATATGAAATGAATCCTAGATCACCCTGCTGTGATATAAGAATTGTGAATAGTATACTCTAACACTACATGTGGCAGAAGAGATCACTTAAATTACTCAAGAGCCTCAATTATTAAAAAACATCTGATTATCATCTGAACGCACCTCTCGTCGAGCTAAAAGTCTATCCAAATTTATTCAAAGATACAAGCTGACCTTGACACAGGGATTTCTGTCACGCTTAACACTTGAGCAGTGGTGTCTGTCACGCTGTAACAATATTTCATGGTTTTGAGCTGGCCAAGGGAACTGTCCTGAAAAACACTCCTGTACCTTAGGATGTTGCGGAATCTCTTACATCTTGGTCTGGGTCTCTCCTGAAGAATTCGTCTTTTTGAAGTTATTTAGATTAAGAAATCGTGTCCCAAGTAGTGTAAGAATAGGTTGACAAGTAGCAACGAACTTGTCAACCTATTCTTGCACTATGCTGATGCAGGTCGCATTTGGACATGATTTTGATGCATTGTGAAATGAACAGTGCAACTTGGGTCTTGATTGATGCATTTCTACTGCGAGACCATGGATGAGAAGAATGGTCTTGGGCTAGTATAAAGACGCGCTTTCATTTCTGAGGAAGCAAGCCACTTTCTCATATCTAGAGTGATAATCTAACCCTGAAACACAAATCTGTGTTTCACAAAATCCAGAAAAATTATTTCAAGCTCAACGAGTGGCTGCAGCATTTTCACACTCTTCGAAATCTTCTGAGGTTTAGGCACAGATTATCTTCAGCAGTTTATCACCATCAGACAAAATGGGTCGTTTTCTACATTCTTCATTCGCTCTCCTAGTTTTCATTGCAGTTGCTCTGACCCTGCAGTCCGTGCAGGCCTCTGATCCAGAACTGACGAAGGATTTCCAGGTCCCAGCAGGAATCAATGCAGCCGATATCGATGGAACGTTCTTCACCAGCGAGGCCTTGAAGAACGTCATGCCCAACGTGGCTTCACCTTTTGCGACTGTCACCACAGCTAATCTGGTTGCTCCAGCAAAGGCTCCATTTCTCGCAGTCGATGGACTCGGTGTTTCCATGGCTTTGCTTCAGTTTCCACCTGGCACCGTGAACCCGCCCCACACTCACCCTCGTGGAACAGAACTCTTGTTCATTATCGAAGGCACTCTGGACGTGGGTTTGGTCGATACCACGAACAAACTTTTCACCAACACTCTTTACAAGGGCGACATCTTTGCTTTCCCCAAAGGCCTCGTTCATTTCCAAATCAACAACGACAAGTACAAGACCGTGACGGCTCTTGGCGGATTCAGCAGCTCCAACGCAGGGCTGGTCCGTCTGCCAAATACTCTTTTCAATACATCCGCGCCAATCTCTGATAAGGTGCTCGAGATTTCTTTCGGCATATCTGGTGATGTAGTCAAGGCATTGAGAGCTCAATTCGCCTGAGTTAGTGTTTGGATATTTTGAGGCAAGTCGATCTTACAAGAAAACATTCAGATTAGGCACAGGTGTTGAAGGTTGCATTTGGTGACTTCTGAAACTTTATGAAATATAAATAATTTTTGGGAAGCCTTTTATATGGTCTGGATATATCTTGAGTATTCTAAACTCTCCTCCATTAGATGTGAATTAGTTTAGTGATTGTGATACCAATCTGATCGATGAACTGCATCGAATAGACCATAGTCAAGTATCTACTTAACTGAGCCCTAGGACTACCTACACCTGGCACTCAGATTGTCTCAATGCCAGTAAAGTCTAAGATTTCTCCTGGCACTTCAAAAATCGACGTATCACTCTTCGAAAAAGTTTTTCAACGCAGCAACTTGAGTCGCATTCATGAAGAATGACTTTTCCAGCATTTCACGGTCGATGCCACTTCCGAACAAAGCTGAAGGCATGAGCTGAATACCAGGATTCTGACTGTTCAGGACGTTCAGACTCGATGCAAGCACCTTCCCCTTGTTCAGCTGGAAGTGTAGCAGACCTCTGGGAAAAATGAAAGCTTCTCCCTTCTTCACAACCTTTGCATACAGCTTATTAGATATGGTTGGGTCGTTGCCGAAGTTGTTGGTGACGAAGCCCGTATACATCTCTCCCTCCAAAACATACAGAATCTCGGTGGCCAAGTTGTGTGTATGGGGACTGATGATGCCGCCGGGATTGATGTCGAGTCTTAGGAGAGACAATCCCTGGGTGTTCAGAGCGGGCCATTCTTTGACGAAGGCGAGGGTTCCAACTCCGCCGGTAGAAACTCGGCTGGGATCTGCAGGTTTAGCAAGCCCAGAATATGCGAAGTCCTCTGTGGTAGCAAGTGCAGGTAACTTGCAAGGGAATCCATTTGAAACTGGTCCAGCAGCAAGGTCTGCAATGCAGAATTCCTGCAAGGGGTCAGGATCCGCTGCATAAACGATGTGAAAAGCTGACATTAGTCCAGCTGCAAGGATCATAGCAGCAAGGAGCATCATCGCCGATATATTGGAGTGGTTCTGTGAGAGACCCGTACTCGCCGTCTACGTTGTGCACTGAGAGTGGCAAGGATCAGTCTCGGAATCTGAACTTTGACTTGCGGTTTGTTGTGGGATGTGATGACTCATTTCTCATCCGCAATATATATACTGCGCATAGACGCCTCTAGAGCAAGTGGATTCTTTAGCCACAAGACCTGACCCGATAGTTGCCAAATTGCGCAGGGAGAAATCTGAGTCAAAGTGTGTGCAGCTTAGGCAACTTCTCCGACATGTTTGAGATATTTGGGCGTTCCTCTTAGTACTCTTGTGGTGTCTTCAGACTCCTCTGGGTAGTTGTGCATGGTTGATTTAAGAAACAGCCAAAAGTCAACATACCTCTCGCAAGGGAAATGTTTCTCTGCCATCTGCATGAGCCTTCGAGGATTCACGTATTCCTTCTACTATTGGACGAGGAGATAGAGCTGCCGCTTGAAATCCAAGATCCACGATCATCAGATATTTGTGAGGACTTAATCAGGCATTTGAAACTATCGCGCTTGGTGCAGACGGCTGATCTCGTAACCACCACATAGAGATATCGTTTCTCTTACACGTCCTCGTCCACCTTCACATGAGCCACGACTTCTGGGATGCCTTATTCCCTCTTTAATCCCTTATATTCTGCGACAAAAAAAAGATACGCGGACTCGAATCTTATATCACCTTGCAGTGATATAAGAATTGTGAACAGGATGCCTTAACACTACCTATGGCAGAAGAGATCACTCCAATTACTCAAGAACCTCCAATCATTAAAAATCATCTGATCATCATCTCAACGCACCTCTCGTCGCCCACAATCAAAATTGAGTCGCGCCCCCAGATGCAACACAGACGCCAACGTCCGCCAACGTTCCTCGCGGGGCCCCCCACCAGGTGGAGCTCCCGGCGTCGCTGGTACTGTGTTCAAAGGAACTCAATTTCCTGCGGGATGAAGGACTAAGGTCTCCAAATTAAGAAACACTGATAAGACACCTTCTATGACAATCTTCAGCCTTTGCCCACTTAGCAAACGGGTAGAATGCAAAGTTATGCCACGAGAATTGCCAAGCACGGGAGATGAGATGAAATCAAGTCATGTGTTTCAGAGGCATTTTCACGTTCGCCCGCTTTCGAATATCTTCACAATAAAAAGCTTACGTCTCTGATTCTGATTTGATGACGTTCAGCACCACGCTGTATCGGTGACCGTATCGTCTATGAGAAAATCGACAGGTTAATCTTTTGATTCAGGGTATAGAGAGATAATTGCTTGATGGGACCCCTGGGAAACTCAAATATTTTCACACCTACTTTTGATTCAAGGTATAGATCTTATAAAATAATGCAATTTCCATCTCAATTTGTGAATGGATTCCCGTACGAGAGAAATATTGGTCAATGTCCCTATGTGTGACAGCGAGTGGATTCGGGCAATGACATAGGGGGATGTCTTGACAACACCCCTGTCATGTGCATTATTCACCAGTCTATTATTATCAGAAAGACAGGATTTTGGATCAGGATATGTTTATACACGAAATCACCGACAGACTCCCAACAAAGTTCTGGAGGCCTTGAAAGTTGATCAAGGCCTGGAACTAGATCCAGGCACGTATTTTCTGCCGACAAGAACGACTTAGTGGCATCTCCAGTACCAATTGTGTGCTTGAAAGTATCTGAGGTTCTCCCGGCATGATATTTATGGGCATTCCACTCTGCATTCTCAAGCAGAATAAAATCACCCATGATAGTTACTCTCACAAGTTATGGAAAACTGACTGGAATACCTGAGGAGACTGCTCTAATTCCCAATGGAAAACTAACACTCTTACCAGAATTAGTTTCAACTCGTAGTGACGAACTGGAAACGAAGCCTACGTATCACAGCACGCGGTGCCCACCTTGTAACAATTCGGTATGTACACAGTACGATCGAGGTCAACTCTTAAGCTGAGTATATTTGGCAGATATGGCCTTGCACATCCAATCATCAGACTCACTTCAAAAGAGCGTACAGCACGGCGACTGGTATCCAGACACTGCATATCATTCTTTTTCTGGCCCTTGGGACAAATGTGATTGCCTTACGTAAAACGCGCTCACATGTCAATGCTTCAGAGCTGGTTTGCAGACATGCTCCTGGCTTTCCTCTGGGCAGTTTGGCTCGTCCTTCTTGGGCTTCTCCTTGATGACAGGTTCTTGCGGAAGGTCTTTGTCGCAGTCGTCGCCACAACTGGGCTCTTAATCCGTCCCTTCGTGCGTCAGCTTCTCTTGTTTGGTTTTGTCCTCCTTCACGGGTTCCTGGGGATCCTTCGAGCATTCTCCACTATCCTCGTCTTGTCATGATAGTCTGTTTGGCATGCTAGGTCCGTCGAATCCTTCCCGCATCTTCTCGGCTTCTCGGCAGGAGTATCACAATCTGGATCCTTGGGGGCGGCTACTGGTGTTTCATCAATCCCATGGAGTTCTATATAAATAGGTTTCTGGTGAAAGGGAGAATCAATATCCTGAATTCTGATTGAAACAACAAGTACAGAACTCTTCTTCGATCATCTCTATCCACGTCTTGAGTGACTTTCAGGTCTCTTGGGTTTATAAGCGGAAACCTGGTGCTTAATTGTGAAAGTCACTCTTCTGTCCTACAAATCAATACCTTGCAAGGACCAGTATTCAGATTTCGGAACGTATCTCTCGGGTAGCAAACTCTCCAGAATGTTTCATCTTGGAAGGCCTCGTTGGGTCTCACAATCTAGAATTTGTTTCACCACCGTCTATTTCCTTTGGCATGGGAAATTTACCAACCGCTTTAGGCTGAGTAACGTATCGTAGGCTGCATGCACAAACACCTCGTAATTATTCATGTCTGTTGTACTTCTTAAACCAACCCAGGAAATGAACACAGACTGTACAGCCACAGTCCACACGGTAACGAAATCAGTGACCGAATTTAGTTAACATGTAAATACTAATACCTGAACTCCTTGTCCTTTATTGGGCAGGTCTATGTAGAGGGGCACGAGTAATATAGCAAAAATATAAATTCCAGTGGATAAGTGTTACGTGGAAAAACTAAATTGGTTATTTGGGGCTTGAGCACACGGGGAAATTTGCATGTCATTTAGAAATTGAGTTTCGATATTATTTAGGTGAACCCTGCTTATATTCCATGACAAAAGTTCCACAAAACTAAGAATTTGAATCACATCCTCCGGAATTTTATTTTGCATAATGTCAAGAGCAAAAGGCTTGTATTCTGTGGTGTTTTAGATGTTATACTTTGAAAGTTATGTACGGAATTTTAGTTTATTCACAATGACAGTCAAGAAGTTCTACTTGTTGCAGTTCTAGAGTAGACAATAGACTCTTGCATGTCCGGCCGTCTTTGCTCTACAAGCAAAACATGGACCTGTTCCACATCTAGTACCCGGAGAAACGCCAGCAAATGGTTCTGATGTTATTTGTGTTACAACAGTGTGAACTACTGACCAATTTAGCCTTCTTCAATTTGTTTTGTGTTTCAATTTTATGCTGTGCTAATTGCTCATCTCGGGTAAGGACAAGTAAGTGTTGCACCTCGATCGATATGGCTCTGGCTGGTCCAAACTCACTGGTGCACATTTAATTTTCCTCGAGTACTTAATGTAGAATATGGCAAGTTTAGTTTGAGAAATGTTCGAATCTACTTGCTCTGAAGTGAGTACTGACCAGTATTTGACATGTACAATGTCGCGAAGATTTCCCCCTCAGCTACTTTTTTACGAGATACGGGAATCCTGATTTAGTGACATTGTTCTAGCCTCCAAGAAGTTCCTGATTCTGTCGGACGTCATCACGTAATCGAGACCTTCCAAGTTGTAAACCGGTGTACGAGTCCATCTTTTCTGGACGGGTTCAATGTAGCCATCACCCAAGCAAAATGACACACTAAGAAGGCCAACCTCATCTGATCAAAACCTTATTACTTTCCTTGGATTCCAGCTAGCCAGGCAAAATATGATCACCTCAGGAACTCCCTCCAAGTGACTTCCTCTCGTGCATTCCCCGGCAAAAGAAGGGTTCTTGCATGAGGCATTTGAGGCTGAGAAGTTAAAGGGAAAGAGTGACTAAATACAATGACAAGATCTTCGATCACTGAACATGCTCAGGAGCTTGCAAAGTTAACGCTGTTCATTGCCTGGTTGACACTGAAGCTCCCATGCTAAATCATGGTAGACGCTGGTGAAGAAGCTGGGAAGCTGCTTATGCAGCTGATGAGGTAGCATGCAAGTCGTCAATCCTCTCAACAAAGGAATCGAGGTTCGGAACTCCTTTCACTCGCGCGTCCTCTCCTGGTCTGCATCTGAAATGTCAATCTAATGAAGGCTACGCACCTCCTTTCGTAAAGTGCTCCTAAAGCCCAAGTAATGCGGCCATTTATCTCTTGAATATTCTAAGATTTTTGTCTTACCCCTGGTGAGTATCAATCACATCATATTTAGGAATTCTCCTCATTTCCATGAGCATAGCTCTTCAAACTGCTGGATTATTAGAATATTTTCTTTTTTTACGGAAGGACCTGTAGGTGGGAAGCCTTTCGGGCCGATGTCGAGCCGATCGCAGCCTCTAAGCTCTCTGCTTATTTTTACAAGTGCAAGTACAGTAGGAGCATCCCGTCGGCTGAGATGGCACTGGGGGGGCCAAGGTCCTCCGGACCCGGCACTTCCCCACCCACAGAACCATTTGATTTGAAAATCCGGGGTTCGCCCTGCGGGCCCTATGGAAAAAGTGGATAAGTTCGGGACGGGGAACGCGTTTACACATGCGAAAAAAATGGGTGATTGGCTAGATTTATATCTTAAGCCGTGGTAATCACTCGTAAATAGTTGAAACCAACAGGCAACACCAAGCGCGACGTTGAAAATTAGCTTACTTCTTAATTTCTTTTCTTCTTCTAAATTAATCATTTCAGATCTGCGAATGTAATATCTGTAACTGATCTACTTAGTCCAAGCGATCCCGGGTCGCTCGGTAACACAGCTGCCTGTCTCGAAAAAGGTTACCTGGCTCCAAGATCGAGCTTACTTCGAGTAGGACCCTCGCAGGATA